TACGTAGTTTTTTAAATGGAAAATATTTTGTAATTTTAAGCCTCGTTATTCCAAGTTATTATAGCAGAACAATACTAATGACAGTCAGAAAGTTTTTTTGTCTTACGATAGCACCCAGATTGGACTCTAATTCCACGGCTAATTAAATTTTGACAAGACGATAAAAAGCATACATATTGTTATAAATCCACCTTCAACAGCATCCATTGTGTTTATTTAATGAAATATGTTAAAGCAGCACTGAAGAACACCGAAATGGTTTCAGCAGGCACCAGAACTATAATACTGAGATAAAGAAAGTTCAGCTTTTATTAGTGTTTCACTGTATCAGATAAATAATATTTTTTACTTAGAAGAGCAAAAATAAAACAGTTGTAATTCGTTTCTCTGTTTGATAGGTAGGATCATAAAAGTACCCAAATATGGTAGTAGAGTGTTAAATATACAGTGTGTTCAACCTAAAATTTGTCGCGGCCCCATAACTTTGCACCGAACTTTAACTTTCTGAAACATTGTCGAAACTGATCAGTTTTTACTCGAGGAATACGTTTGATATAAAATTTTAAGTTGTTTTGATTAAAATATACGTTAATTTGAAGTTGTTTGCGTTTTCTTAACTTTGTAAATAAAAAAATTAATTTTTTTTTATTTTCACTTTCAAAGAAAACATTAATAATTTTTCAGAAACTAGTCAATGAATAAAGAGAAAGCATGAAGATAAAGAAAATATATTTCAAATGTGATATATGTGGCCCACCTTCCCGTTCAAAATTTTTAGGGTGCGGTTTTTCACCAGAATGTTTCTGCATTAAAATAAAAATGAACCTATCTATACGATTTCTTAAAACTTACTCAAAGTTGCAATCAAATGTTTGTACACAAGCACACTGTATATAAGAATAATATTCATAGTAAAATAAGGAATATAAGAATATAGAACAATAAATTCATATTGCAACAGAATTATTTGATTCTTCAAAAAGATATACATTTGCAAACTTTGAAAATTAGAATCTTGTGGCCATGTTTAACACAAAACTAATTTGAATCTTGACTAATGAAGAATATATTTTCAGATTCCGATTCAATATGCCTTTTATAAAATTCATTTTGCTTAATAGAACTAGAAGACATTTAAAACATCGAATTTATTTTGAAACAAAACAAGACATGGAGAAATATAAAAGAATTTTTATTTAAATTTGGAAATTAGTCATATATGAAATTAGCGTTGTTAAGTAAAATTCCTATCAAATTGTCACAATTAAAAAAATAAAAAAATGATGTTATAAATTTGAGAACTAATCAAAATAAAAAATATGTCTTTATAAACTACGTCAGTAAGAACCCTTTAGGAGTAAATTAATACAGTAGATTTTATTCCACTACAGTTGGTAATAAAAGAATTTTACAGAAATTTTGCAACACCTGTACCCTATGTTAATATTGTCCATAATTATTTAATTGTGGTATATTTTATTAATGTTTTATTTAGTTGGGTATTTCTGCTACATTGAAAATAAAAAAAATCAGATACATAACCCATTTTGGATAGTTTTAAGAATGAAAACAGAAAAATTTTCCAAACGTTAACAACTTGTATGTACAGGATGATTCACTATATTTTGACCCCCCCTTAAACTTTTTTGCTTTGAGAGTTATAAAAAAATGTGAAATATAAAAGTTGCACGATTTTTTATGAATTTTTCGAAAATGATAGTAGAAAAACCAATGAAGTCCAAACAAAATGTCCGCGGATGTTAACTTAGTTAAGTTAAATGGAACACCCTGTATATTTTTACATATTTGGATAGAAAGTTCCCTGTCGAGCATAGTCATGTAGGGTTTGTTGGGTTTATCGCTAACAATAAGCGAGATACTATTAAAAAACGTGAAGGTTTTTTATTAAGAAAATAAGACATCTTGTAATTGTTAGACTACAAGTATTTCTGTTTTTTTTTCCAATTACGTAAAGATTTACAGATTTAGTTGTAATATATTTTGACATATCGGACATTGACATGGTCCAAAATGCGTATAGGTATTTTAACTAAATATCACTAATTAGGCCGTGAGACGCCTACTTACTCATGAACAATGTTATATGGTAGGCCATGACAGTGACAGGTAATGTCATGACAACACTGTTAGATATTGTTTGACAGTTTGTATTATTATTTAATTAAAATGGGTTACACAGAAGTAGAAAATTGAAATATTATAGGAATTAAAATAGAGCAAAGTTCTTCTCTATACTCTGTTTTAATTCTAAATAATTTTCTACTTCTGTGTAACCTATTTTAATTAAATAATAATACATACAATAACAATGTTGTCAAGACATTACTACCTGTCACGACCTACCATATAATGTCCATGAGTAATTAGACCTCTCACGGACTAATTAGTGCGATTACATTACCTATACGCATTTTGGACCGTATCAATGTGCCATATATCAAAATGTATTATAATTAAATCTGTAAATCCTTAGGTAATTGGAAAAAAGGCAGAAGTGCCTGAAAGAGGTCTAACAATTACAAGATGTATTATTTTCTTAATAAAAAACCTTCTTTTCGTTTTTTTAAAGTATCTTGCTTATTGTTAGAGATGGACCCAACAAACCCTGTATAGCTATGCTCGACAGGGAACGTTCTATCCAAATATGTAAAAATATACAGGGTGTTCCATTTAACTTAACAAAGTTAACATCCGCGGCCATTTTGTTTGGACTTCATTTGTTTTTCTACTATCATTTTCAACTTTTATATTCCATATTTCTTATAACTCTTAAAAGAAAAAAGTTAAAGGGGGGGTCAAAATATAGTGAATCACCCTGTACAAAATAATTCACTATATTTTGACCCCGCTTTAACTTTTTTGTTTTAAGAGTTATAAAAAAATTTGAAATACAAAAGTTGTCCAAACAAAATGGCCGCGGATGTTAACTTTGTTAATTTAAATGTAACACCCTGTATATTTTTACATATTTGGATAGAACGTTTCCTGTCGATCATAGTCATTTAGGGTTTGTCGAGTCAATCTCTACCAATAAGTTAGATACTATTGAAAAAGACGTGTTTTTATTTCATTTCTGCCTTTTTCCAATTACATAAGGATTTACAGATTTAGTTATAATTTATTTTGCCATATCGAACATTGATATGGTACAAAATGCGTACCTATAGGTATTTTAACTAAATCTCACTAATTAGGCCGTGACAGACCGAATTCATAGACAATGTTATATAGTAGGCTGTGACAGTGACAGGTAATGTCGTGACAACATTGTTATTGTTTGACAGTTTGCATTATTATTTAATTAAAATTGGTTACAGAGAGTAGAGTAGAAAATAAATAAAAGATATGAAATGAAGTTCTTCTCCATACTCAATTTTAATTCCAAATAATATTTCAATTTTCTACTTCTGTGTAACCTATTTTAATTAAATAATAATACAAACTGTCAATCAATAACAATGTTATCATGACATTAATACCTATCACTGTCACAACCTACCATATAACATTATCCATGAGTAATTAGGCCTCGCACGGCCTAATTAGTGAGATTTAGTTAAAATACCTATACATATTTTGGACCATATCAATGTACGATATGTCAAAATAAATTATAAATATGTAAATTCTTACGTAATTAGAAAAAAGGCAGAAATGCCTGAAAGTGGTCTAACAAGTACAAGATGTATTATTTTCTTAATAAAAAACCTTCTTTTCGTTTTTTAATAGTATTATGGTTATTGTTAGAGATGCACCCAATAAATCTTATATGACTATGCTGGACAAGGAACGTTCTATCCAAATATGTAAAAATATACAGGGTGTTCCATTTAAATTAACAATGTTAACATCCGCGGCCATTTTGTTTGGACTTCATTTGTTTTTCTACTATCTTTTTCGAAAAATTCATAAAAAAATCGTTCAACTTTTGTATTTCAAAAAAAAGTTAAAGGGGGCTCAAAATATAGTGAATCACCCTGTACAACAGTGTAATAGTCGGCAAAAATCGTCTTTCTCAAAATGAGACATTTGTCGTTAGGCAAAACAAAATTTATAAAATCAACCCCTTAACTGATTCTTTTGGTGAAAAGGGTTGTTTATTTTAAATTTGTATTTTAAAAAGTAGTACATATGTTAACTTTGTCTGAATTTATTTTTTCATTGTTAAAAATTACCCAAACCTTTGGAATTTTCAATACCTACAGACCTTCGATAAAATTTAAAATTAATAGTATTGTGAGAACATTACCCCTTGTGATAAATGTACAAATTTTATTCCAACAGAAGTCAAGATCTAAGTAATGTAGCATAAATTTATAAAAATGTAATTTTATTTAAATTTTTTTACATTGTATATCGAGTAGCTCTAAGTATAGCATTTTACATGACTATGAAATTTTTGGGTTACCTACTTATTTATTTGTTAATAAAAAATTACACTAATTAAGTTTCCCATTTTTACAACTGTTCCCAACTTTTTAGGAGGGTAAGGGGTTGGGCTAATACTTAAAAAATTAGTACAATAAATAGTTGCATATTGCAGTAATTACTTTAAGAAAATATTAATTTAGAAATGGTTAAATTTCAATGCCAGAAAATTTCTTTGAACGTGTAGGTACCGATTATTTTAAATTCTTTGTCTAGTAAGAAGTAATATTTTTAAACCAAACATAAAGAAGTTAGTACACCTATGACATTAAAAAAAACATTTTGTATTAGTACTCTAACATAATTTATAACATTGTCAGTATATTACTGAATGAAAAGATACCAAATATTTACATATCTATTAACTACAATCTCGGTCGTAACGGTAAACTGTTAAATAAATAGACGCCAGGTTTTTTTTCTAGGGATAAACCAATTTCATTAAATAGAACCTGACAAAGGTAATAAATTAAAACGAATCGCATTAAAATCGGTAAAACCGGTCGCGAATGCGGTTTAAGCTATGAAATTTAAAAAATACTGCTACTCACCGGTGTAAAATGCCTTCAGAGCTTAAATGTTCCTGTCTAATGCACAACAGATAAGAACCAACTCCTTCGCAATGGAGGACCATCGACCTCTTATACAGGTCCACAGGTGGGGAGGAGTCACCAATGCCAAACGCCGGCCGAATGATTTTTTTTTCACATTATGCACATCTCGGATGCACCGCACGCATATTTTCAATTTCTTCATTTGTACAACGATTTTAATGTGTCAGACTTGATTTATTATCTATTGAAACTCTGACGGCTTAAAAATTTGGTAAATCTACCACACAACCGAACTTTTGTTAACAGTGTGATCTGTAAGGTATGGGGGAGACTGGGGTTGTCTGTTATAGGCTTTACTTTTTGTTATTGTAAGTCAAATTATATTTTGAAATAAAGTTTTACCCTTATTTAAATCGGAAATAAACCAATTTTATTTTAATTTAAATATAAATTAAAAACACTATTAATAAGTAGTAAGTTATTTATAAAAACTTACTCCTGGTTCACTTTGAATATTATATACAGGGTGTCCCGAAATTAATGGGACACGTAGCAAGTGGTAAATTCCTTACATCAAAATAGTGCGATATACCTAAACTTACCTTAGTCCATTTGAGGATAATAAAAAAGTTATAAGGTGTTAAAATTTTGAATTCAAAATTTTAACACTTTTAAAACCCAGGGTTTTCTGGGTTCAGGAAAACGAATCCGGACTTAACTGTGCATGCTGTAGACGCTAGGTCTCTACAAATTGTATTCTTGATTGATAAAAATTGGTCATAACTTTTTTTTCAGTATGTGTACGAAAGTTTTAATAGAAAAATAGTATTCTCTTATCTATTTTACACAAATAAGATATACTTGTTTTATGTCGATAAATTTCACCGTTTTCGATTTATTTACTGTTTCTCCATTGGATGCAATTTAATTTCCATGGTAATAACAATTATTTTATTTCTTATTAAATTAACTCTGTATTGTATATTTAAATATATTTATTAGGTATCGTCATAAAAAAATCTAAAATGTGTATTCAAATAGCGTATATATTTAAACTTCTTGCAAGAGAAAACGTTCAAACCATGTATTAGAAATGAAATTGCATCCAATGGAAAAACAGTAAATAAAAACGGTTAAATTTATCGACATAAAACAAGTAGGTACCTATGTGTAATGTATATACCTATAATGAATAATATTTTTCTATTAAAACTTTCGTATACACACTGAGAAGAAAGTTATGATTAATTTTTATCAACCAATAGTACTTTTTTAGCGACCTCTAGCGTCTACAGCAGAGTTAAGTCCGGATTCGTTTTCCTGGGCCCAGAAAACCCCCAAATTAAAATTTTCAAAGTAATTCTTTGAAAACTTTCCAAAAATTATAAGAATTTTGAATTCAAAATTTTTAGATTCGTTTTGCGTTTNGCAAGTGATAAATTCCTTACATCAAAATAGTGCGATATACCTAAACTTACCTTAGTCCATTTGAGGATAATAAAAAAGTTACAAGGTGTTAAAATTTTTAATTCAAATTTTTTTAATTTTATGGGTTTTCTGGGTCCAGGAAAACGAATCCGGACTTAACTGTACATGCTGTAGACGCTAGGTCTCTACAAATTGTATTCTTGATTGATAAAAATTGGTCATAACTTTTTTTCAGTGTGTGTACTAAAGTTTTAATAGAAAAATATTATTCTCTTATCTATTTTACACAAATAAGATATACTTGTTTTATGTCGATAAATTTCACCGTTTTCGATTTATTTACTGTTTCTCCATTGGATGCAATTTAATTTCCATGGTAATAACAATTATTTTATTTCTTATTAAATTAACTCCGTATTGTAAATTTAAATATATTTATTAGGTATCGTCATAAAAAAATCTAAAATGTGTATTCAAATAGCGTATATATTTAAACTTCTTGCAAGAGAAAACGTTCAAACCATGTATTAGAAATGAAATTGCATCCAATGGAAAAACAGTAAATAAAAACGGTTAAATTTATCGACATAAAACAAGTAGGTACCTATGTGTAATGTATATACCTATAATGAATAATATTTTTCTATTAAAACTTTCGTATACACACTGAGAAGAAAGTAATGACTAATTTTTATCAACCAATAGTACTTTTTTTAGCGACCTCTAGCGTCTACAGCAGAATCCGGATTCGTTTTCCTGGGCCCAGAAAACCCCCAAATTAAAATTTTCAAAGTAATTCTTTGAAAACTTTCCAAAAATTATAAGAATTTTGAATTCAAAATTTTTAGATTCGTTTTGCGTTTTGTTCTAGTTGTTAGTGGTTTACTTTTGTTTGGCAAACCACTTTTTAAACATGCCAATAAATATTGATACTGTCAGTTCCAGGCCTGATAAAATGCGAGAGAAAAGTGGTTTTGCAAGGCCTTCTTGACGCTGTTAGGTACATAGCTACTTTATCGGACTTTAGAAAAGAACCTGATTTTTCTGGAAAACTGAGATAAGTATGGACAATTCAAATTTGCATTCACCTATGACAATTAATATGGGTCGTCCCATTAAAAAAAAAGTTTTTCAACTTGTAAGATAATTAAATGTCTCAGTATTTCCGAGTCTGAATAACGTAGGTACACGTTTTGCTCACAGATGACAAGATAGTGTATTTTATGCCAAAAACGAACTGTTAAAACTGTAGGTTTCTAACTCTTACGGTTGAGACGCTATCTAGCCTCATTTAGAGAGGTGAAATCGTGATTTTTTTTTCAAAAACAACTGATTATCTCGAAAACAGTAAGTTTTAACCACCATGTACATTTAATAAATTCTACCTAGTATTAACCAAGGAATTCAAAAACAAGATATTCACATACAGGGTATTCCATTTAAAATAATAAAGTTATGTAGCTCCCACGCGAAATGGAACACCCTGTAAAGCTAAAAATATTTTCTTTATATGATCCACATGATTCGAGACAACTTTTGTTAAAACCATTTTTTTATAAATTTTACAGTTACAGAGTTACAGAAGAATCCCTCTTAGGTGAAACACCCTGTATATTATACTTTAAAGGTTATGTTACATTTGGAAGTTCTAAAATACAAAGAAAATTATAGATAAAATGTCGATGATTTATTTTTATTTTACTTCTTTAACTAAGCTAAAATATTCTATCTTCCCCCTTACAAACAAATGGACAAATGCCATTACAAATTTGATTTAAAAAAATACTGTGGTATTATTATTTAAATTTAATTAAATTTGCAATGATTATTATAGAGCAACGACCTTCTGAAGAACCACCCCAGTTTCCTTTACCTGTAATAACATGTTTAATTTAAGAAAGAGTAATTATAAAGAGTGATCTTATATTTTAGAAAATTTAGAGGGATAGGACATCAAAAAAAATAAGGTAAAATACCGTTTGACATCTAAACCAAACTTCCGATAGTTTAAAATAAAAGAGATTCACCTTTAAAATGAAATGCTATGTTTTTTTGAGGTTTCCTAAAAATGATTGGAGAAAACTTAGATTTAAAGCTTTTGGACACTAATTTATGCATTATTATTTAATTCCATGCTTTACGTAAAAGGATAGTTTTAGTAGGTAACTGTCACATTTTTATGCTTTTAACTTTTTTTAATTATGATTTTTTTATTATTAGCTTTTATATGTTTAATTTATATTATCGGCACTAAGGTAATTCAAATTAATTTAAAATTATCAAGTTGTTTCATGTTCAATTTCTTCACTATGTGGACTAAACTGTGGATATTTCAGCTGTCACAGTGTATTAATCTTTTAAAGATCGTTTTAACTGAAATGAAATAAATAGGTAAATATACCTATAAATACACAACACACTTAACTAAATATGTTGGTGACAGATTTTTTTGGGTGAATAATAAATTTAAATCATTAATCTTTGTTTTAGATAAAGCTTTAGACATATATTTTTTTTATATAATGAATTGTACAATATACCACCTACATCCACCGCAGTGCAAAAGATATTGAATTTAGTGTTGTAAAACTTATCCAGTCAAAACATTAATTATGTCGTTGGTCATTTACTTATCTCAAATATCCATTCTAAGTACTTTTTATATCTTGTTCATTATAAATATTTTTGTTGTTCGGATTAAAACATTGAATTATTTTACACTGTGCACTGTGCAAAGTCAATGACATTTACACCAGAAAATGGTAGGATTTAGGTAATATCTAATAATTTTCAAATCCAAAAATTTGTTTGCATAATATGCGAATATATAAATAAAGTGGTATAAAAAAAGTATATATATATTTCTATTTATTTGTGGCAGTTAACAAAAGTTCTAATATTTCGTTGTGGGTGGACCTGTTTAATATGTTTAAATTACTTCTTCGCTTTTATTATTTATGATACCTATAGTTGTTTTCTATTTTTCTGTATAGGTACTTGAGATATAAAGTAATATTTAGGATATCCCATTATTAATTTAAATGTGAGTATTGTACTTCTGTGATGTAAATGTTTTTAGGGTTATATGTTACAGCAAATAAGTTCTTTACTTACTCTAGTATTAAAGTCACCGACAGAACTTCGACAAAAATTAATATAAGTATTAAAATAATTGTTGTACTGCCTGTACGTGGTATTACTGTTAATAAGAAAATTAGAATAAGAAAAAAATATGTTGATATAGACTTTAGGTGTTTGTTAGTACCTACCTATACCTATAAAGACATCTATCTACCTTCGTAAAAGGAACACTGATTCATGTAAGTCTAGGTGCGTATCTCAAGCAGATATTTATAAGTAAATAATATTGCTGCCTTGAGTAGTATGTACTTATTTACACCAAAAAAAAATCTCACATTCCAAATTAGTCATTAACTTTTTTCGTTGTTCAAGTCACCATCAAAGTCACAGCTTCAAGATATTTTTTTATTTATCTTTATTGGTTTTTTATTTTCATTGAAATTGTGTTGGAACTTTACAATTTTAATACTTTTTGTATCTAATATTATTCTATATGTTTTTCTTCTCAAAGGACAGCAGTATAAGGTAGATCTGCTATCTTAATGTCGCG